CATTATTCTCATTAAATTGAAGAAAAGTAAACTTAATTTTTCGTTAAATTAATCATTAGTTTCATTGAATTGCAAATGGATCACTTTTGCTTTTATTTGCATCAAAGCTGAATTATCCATCTAATGAGTTTCTGCTGTTTGATTGTTGGCAGTTTGTCAAGAAAAACATGGCATGGACCACATCTCACTGGATCCAGAATTCATTAAAAAAAAAAAAAAAATCTCAGTCTTATCGAGTCCCATGTCCCATCCATGCCATACTTTTATTGACACACTGCCAATAAACTTAAAAACTGTAGAAGCCTATTCAATGTGACACACATCAGTTTTGATGATGAAGTTTCACTTACTCTGGCTTCTGTACAGCCTTAAAAATATTGATAGTTATGAAATAAGTGGCAGCAGGAGAAATATGATCAATGTTGATGCAAAATATTGTAGACTTAAGTCTAGTTTTTCCTTTTTTTAAATTGATCAAACTTGGTTTGTAAAATTATCAACTGGTCACAAATATTCCACTTTCTGATATTTTATTGTGTCAAAGTCCATCTATCCATCCATTATCTTCTGCTTATTCCGAAGTCGGGTCGTGGGGGCAGCAGCTTGAGCAGGGAGGCCCAGACTTCTCTTTCCACAGCCACCTCTTCCAGCTCTTCTGGGAGGATTCCAAGGTGTTCCCAGGCCAACCGAGAGACATAGTCTGTCCAGCGTGTCCTGGGTCTTCCCTGGGGTCTCCTCCCAGTTGGACATGCCCAAAGCACCTCTCTAGGGAGGCGCCCAGGGGGCATCCTTACCAGATGCCCAAACCACCTCAACTGGCTCCTCTCGACGTGGAGGAGTAGCGGTTCTACTCCAAGTCTCTCACGAATAACTGAACTTCTCACCCTATCTCTAAGGGAGAGTCCAGCTATCCCACGGAGAAAACTAATTTCAACCGCCTGTATCCTCAATCTCATTCTTTCAGTCACTACCCAGAGCTCATTACCATAGGTGAAGGTAGGAACGTAGACCAACAAGTAAACAAAGAGCTTTGCATTACAGCTCAGCTCTCTCTTCACCACAACGAACCGGTACGGAGTCTGCAATACTGCAGATGCTGCACCAATCTGTCTGTCAATCTCACGCTCCATTCTTCCCTCACTCGTGAACAAAACCCCGAGATATTTGAACTCCTCCACTTGAGACAGAATCTCACCCTCGACCTGAAGAGAGCAATCCACCCTTTTCCGGTTGAGGACCATGGCCTCAGATTTGGAGGTGCTGATTCTCATCCCAGCCGTTTCACACTCGACCTTGAACCGCTCCAGTCAGAGCTGGAGATCACGGCACAATGACACCAACAGGACCACATCATCTGCAAAGAGCAGAGATGGAATCCTGAGGCCACCAAAACCCCCCACCAGCTGGCTGCACCAAGAAATTCTGTTCATAACTTTTATGGACAAGCCCTGGCGGAGTCCAACTCCCACCCTAAAGGGGTCCGACTTACTGCCGGCAATGCGAACCAAACTCTCGCACAACTTGTATAGGGACATACTCACGGAGCACCCCCCACAGTGTACCCCAAGGAACATGGTCGAATGCCTTCTCCAAGTCTACAATACACATGTAGACTGGATGGGAAAACTACCACGACCCTTCAAGGACCCTAGTGATGGTAAAGAGCTGATCCAGTGTTCCACGGCCAGAACGTAACACACATTGTTCCTCCTGGATTTGAGGTTC